AATCTGTGTGCCGCTTTTATGTCTCAAGTGACCTTTGCTTGTATTTGTTAATGCCACTTATGTTCAGTAAAGAATTATGCCACACAGATAATGATGCTGGCTGGGCATAACAAACAAAATCAAAAAGGTCAAACGAACACGAAACAAAAATGCATTTTCATTATTAATGGTATTCATCACTACAAAAACTCCTCGATCCGTTTATGAGGAAGCATTTATCTGAGAGTTAGAGAGCACCACAGCCTGAAGCAGCCTCCTGTCTGTCCAGAAACACCTGGGCTCCTCTGGCACATACGTCTGGATCCTGTAGCTCTCCATTCAACACAATCAGACCACAGCATCTCCAAACATCACTCCATCCATCTGCCAGATAAACAGGTCAAAGTCTTTATGATGCACAAACGTCTACCTGTCAGACCTCATACACTCTAAAAAATGCTGGGGTTGTTTCAACCCAACTTTGAGTCAAATATGGACTAACCCAACTTTTGGGTTAAAAATTGAATGTAAAAATGTAACCCAACGGCTGGGTTAGTCCATATTTGACCCAAAGTTGGGTTGAAACAACCCCAGCATTTTTTAGAGAGTTCCTGTGAGTTTTCTGCTCCGTCCCTGATCACTAAATATATCTAACACATGCAGATCACATCACTTGAATAAACTGGATGCATCAGATGTCTTGCTCTTAAACTGGTTCAAAAGTTTGGGGTCCAAGATTTTTATTGTTTTTATAATGCATCTCTAATGCTCAATAAAGCTGCATTTTTTATAAAATTATCATTTAAAATTACGATTTTCTATTTCCATGTTTGATGGCAAAGCTGAATTTTAAATGTAATATTGTGAAATATTATTATGATGTAAAATATAATTTTTCTATTTTAATATACATATACGAATTTTCAGTCTTCAGCATCACATGATCGTCAGAAATCATTCTGATTTGCTGCTTAAGAAATGTATTTATTTATTATTATTATCATCATGGCTGAAAACCATTTTGTGGAAACTATTATCCAGGATTTTATTTAATTTTGTATTTTTTTTAATGAACGTAAAGTTCAGGATAAATATTTGTTACATTGTAAGTGTCGTTACTCTCACTTTTGAGCCGTTTAATCCAACCTTGCAGCTTTTAAAGAATTAATTTATTTAAAAGAATAAATCAAATCAAATATTATTGACCACAATCTAGTAGTGTACTGTACTCGTGAGCAGTGTTGAGGGTAATGCATTACAAGTTACGTAATCAGATTACTTTTTTTAAGTAACTTTTAAAGTAACATTACTTTTTAATTTAGAAGGGAATATCTGAGTTACTTTTTCAAATAAGTAACACTAGTTACTTTGTTTCCATGTGTTGAGTGACAGCTCTGGTGTTGCCACGGTGACAGAAATCAGGAGTGAGTGCAGAGCGTTGTGTGTGAACACTTACTGTAGCTCTAGACTAAATATCAACATGTGTTTACTCAAAAAAACATTCAGCGTTCCTCAAAATCAATACAAACAGTACAATGCAAACTCAGAATATTATACAAACCTGCAATAATTAAATATGTTAAATAAGACAAATATCATTTATGTATTTAATCCCATTTTATTAACCGATGTCTTTGCTTCTGACCTTCGATGATCCAATTCAACCATACTAATAATCACAAATTACACATTTGTGTTTGATTTTAGTTATTGCTGAGTAGTGTTGAACTTTATTCTCCTGCGTCGTATTCTTCATGCTGCGCTCTCTACTGTACAGACGTGAATATACATTTCCTTCAGCCCAAGGCATATTCATTTCACTTTTCTTATCAAAGGGCTTTTATGTTTGTAAAAGAAGAACTTTTTTATATTAAAAACAAACAAGCAAGCCCCGCCCAGATTTAAAAAGTAACTCAAAAGTAACGTAACGCATTACTTTCCATAAAAAGTAACGTAATTAGTTACTTTTTATGGAGTAACGCAATATCGTAATGCATTACTTTTAAAAGTAAGTTTCCCCAACACTGCTCGTGATCATTAAACCATACTGTTCGTTTTTGTTGTTGTTTTGCCAGAAGGTTTGCTGGCAATAAATGTAATATTTTCAGAACACCACCTTTACCAAAAAGTAGTATACTTCAAGTTTATTTGAGTAAGTATACTTAAGTAAAGTTCAAGTATTTATACTTTATGTAGTAAGTATACAAATATCAGTGTACTAGTAGTATACTTGTAAGTGTACTATTTCAATACTCCTTGGGACTAAATTGGCCCACTTTCTAGTAAATAAAGTATACTTTTAAGTATAAGAGTAGTACACTAGTTTACATCTATATTTTTAGTTTGTACTGCAACTATACTAAAAGTGAACTTATGAATACTGATAGTTTACTAATTAAATACTTGTAGTAGCATTTTAGTACACTTTGAAGTATAGTCTCAGTAACTACTAGTTTAGTAGTTTTATACTGCAAGTATACTCGTACGTTT